AGGAGGAGGAGGAGGAGGAGGAAGGCAGAACAAGGAGAAGAGGAAGAAGAGACGGAGGAGGAGGAGGAGGACATCTAGAGGGCAAAAAGGGCAACAAAGTAGAGAAAGACGACAAAGATGAAGAAAACGAGAGAGAGAAACAGTATAAATAGGAGGAGGGAGGATGAGGAGGGAGGATGAGGAGGGAGGATGAGGAGGAGGAGGACGGCGAGTTTATCAGTTTCAGTAAGAGTTTAACTGCATTTGCAACGCAAGAAGGTCATATAAGTGGCAAACATCCGAGGGGTTACAAGAGAGTAACAAACAAAAAATGGAGGGGAGATAGGAAGATAGATGTTTGATAGGAAAGAAGGAGAAGACCACACCATAGCACCCGCAAACCACCCATCAACAAATTAGACGAAGACAACAAAGATGAAGAAAAACAAAACTGTGAAATAGTATAAATATGAGGTGGGAAGAGGATGAGGAAGAAGAGCATGAGGAGAATGAACAGGAGGAGCCGCAAGAGTGAGGAGGAGGAGGAGGAAGAGGAGAAAGAGCAGGCACAAGAGTCAGGAGGAGGAAGAGGAAGGCGCAAGAGTCAGGAGGAGGAAGAGGAGGAGGAGGAGGAGGAGGAGGAGGAGGCGCAAGAGTCAGGAGGAAGAAGAGGAGGAAGAAGAGGAGCAAGAGCAGGCGCAAGAGTCAGGAGGAGGAAGAGGAGCAAGAGCAGGCGCAAGAGTCAGGAGGAGGAAGAGGAGGAAACAGCGTTCCTGCCACCTGCACCACGAGTCCCCCAACTGACCAGGTCCTCCATGCCTGTGGGCTGCGGCGACTGCTGTAGGTGGCGCCCCCGCCGGATCATCTCCGAGGCGCGGGCCAGCAGCTGCTCCAGCTCCACAATGCGCTGCTCCTTAGAGTGCAACAGCTGGGCCAGCAGCTCCTGCCGGGGGTCGCAGGTCAAGGCCAGGCCGTCCACGTCCATGCGTTGCTTGATGCTGGTCTGGCGTTCCAGGGAGGGTACCAGGATCTGTACCACGGGATTGATTGATTGATTGAGTAGGTGTTTTACGGCACTATCGACTCACTTTAGGGATTGGAAGGGATTGAAATGATCATGAAGGGTTGTATATTACTCTATATGATAAATGATGGTCATGATTACAACTGATTTGTCAATTATCTCTGTAAATATAATATATAAATATAAATATATAATTCTGGTGGTGCCAACTTTTGCATCACTATTTAGAAGAAACACATACTTCAGACCTCAAAGTTTAAATGAAAGTAACGTTTAATATACATGACTATTTAATCTGGAATTCATTAAGTTGTAGATTTCAATAGCAATGCATAGTTATAAAATACTCAAGAATGTAGGCATTGGTTCCCTATTCCACTTTTATAAACTGAGTGTCTGCTGTTCAGTTATAGGTTCACAATTGCACGGATAAAAACAAACAGGAATCTCCATAAGTGTATTAACAATGAGGTGTCTCAAGTCACAGGATGGCATTGCTCTATACTGGTTCAATTGTACTTGATACCCACGTCAGCCCACACTCATGAACAGGTAAGAGTGAAAACAAGGAAGCATTCACAAGAGATTATGTTGATTTGAAATCAATCAATCCCGATGTGTCTTGTAAGCACGGCATCATATCAGTCATTTGATAGTCAAATGTTTTTAGTATTAGTTTTAGTAGAGGTTTTATGGCGCTCGCAACTGTATAAGGTCATATTAGCGCCAGAAGATTAGAGACATTACTAAAGAGTAACAAATATAAAAAAGAAAGATAGATAATGACGATAGCTGTTTGATGGGAAAGAAGAAGCAAACCACAACAGAGCACCCGCCAACCACCAACAGTCAAATGTTTCATGGTCTCATGGACACTAAATATAACATCAGAAGCCGGCTGAGTGGTACACAGCATACCACCAGGAAGATGGCGATACTACAGGATAATATACTTCCTACAGTAAGTGTTTTATGGCACTTGAAAACAATAAGGTCGTATAAGTGCTGGAGATTAGAGGCGCCACAAGACAGTTACAAACAAAAAGGAGGGTAGAAAAAGACGATAGATGTTTGATAGGGAAGAAGAAGCAAATCACACCAGAGGACCCGCCAACCACCCACTAAATGTGACATGGGATAAAGCCTAATCTTATAACACAATAAGTTCTTTGCTTGTTAGAGTAGTTATTTTTTACGACACTATCGGCTCAGTTTTGGTCACACACAAAAGTCAGTTCTTGAGGCAGTCCAGTTGGAGGCACATAAGACAGAATGCTTGAGTGAAGAGAAGCAAATCAGCACAATAAGTCATACAGTGAGGTGAAGAAGCAAAACAGAAAAAAAAGACAAAAAAGAAGGGGCTGCCAGTGGCACCCTCCAGAAGACTTGAGGGTCTTGTTTGCTTGTTTGCTTGAGTAGGTTTTTACAACACTACTGACACAACACTAGAGGGTGCGAGAAGCTAACAGTCCCACTCACCTGCCCCACACAGGAGTCGCTGATGTCCGTGGTGCTGGTGGACACCGTGGAGCGAATGCAACGTCTGAGAGCCGAGTCGCTCCCGCTGGGGTGCCGCAGCCGACCCGTGTCCGTCCAGTTGCCGCTGCCCGCGCTGGGAGAGACGCTCAGGTCCCTGCTGGCGCCCGATGCAGCGCGGGCGCGGCGCGAGAGCAAGGTCTTTCCGCCAGACGGAGACCCGTCTACTACCACGTGCGTGTCGCTTAGATGGTGGTTGCTGTCTTTCTTGATCTGGGAGGTGGAGGAGGAGAGTGTGAAGGTAGTGGACGAGGAGGATGACAGGGGTGGTGGGGACGAGGTGACAAATTTGTCCGTGTTTGTGCAAACATCAAGCTGTTTGGAGCCGACTACCGTGGAGGCAGAGGAGGTGGATGAGCTTGACGGGCTCTGCTCGGGGGCCTCTGCTGAGATGACGGAGAAAGACAACTTTCTTGTGCTACTGCTAGTACCGCTGCTCACCTTGCGGCCGGGGATCGGACTAGCGCTAGTCTGCTGATACACCCTGACAGTCGCAGGACTGGGGACAGAGGAGGGGGCAAGGGTGGAGGACGAGGAGGAGCCGGCACTTGGGTGGGTGCTTTCCACTTTACGGCCATTTTCAGTCATGGAATTCTCTGAAGTCGAATGTTGGACAACAACATCGCCAGCACCGTCACCGCCATCTGTTTGAGATGGTGCTGCGTTATCGTCGTGGCTTTTGAGTGCTTCGGAATCATCCTGGGAATGCTGATGATGTCCACTAACGAGGTGCTGACCGTTGCCAACAGAGCCACCCGTCTCGTCCACCTCTGCCAGCCGCTCAGACAACAGCGAGATGTGACTGCTACTGTCCGACATTCTCATCTTCTGCGGGGAGCCCGGGGCCACAGCACCAGACAAGAGTTCGCGTCCACTGGAAATAGCAGAGTCCTTTTTCCCATCCTCGGCACCACCACCGCCAGCACTCTCTCGCACTGAAAGACCTTCTGCGTCCTCCCCTTCACAAGGAATTTGTTCACAACTCAAAAACTCATCCCCTTCGGGGATATTGTCCACTGGGAGACTGGCAACAACGCTCCCACCACCGACACCCGCGCTGTCCTCACCGCCAGACTGACCAGTGGTCAAGCCACCAGCGTTATCCTGTAGCAGGTTCCGACTTGACGACGATAACGACAGAGGGGTGTTCACTGAAAGACCTGAATCAACACTATTGTTCTGAGCAACTGAAACGTCCGCCTGGTCTGAAGCCCCAGGATTTGAAACTGCGAGCACGGCGGCGGGGCTGCTAGAAGACCCGTTCAAACCAGTAGCGCTCCCATTGGAGGCAGGAGCCGAGTCCACGACCCGGCCCGCGCTCCCGTCCCCCGGCAGCGACCCACTCCCCGTCTTGTCCTCCGCATGGTGTTGAAGGACCTCCACTGAGGAGGACGACGTGTTGTGGGGGTCGGCCGCCGCCCCAGAGTCCTGTCCAGGGTTCACAGAGGGGTCACTGTTACGTCGGGTGTTGTCAGCGTTGGCTCTCGACAGCTCTTCCATGGACCTGCAAGACAAAAGAGGTTTTTCAGAATTTTTCTTTACTCTGGATTGCAGTTAAGGCAGTATTCACTGTGCATTCGTCTTAGGAAAATTAAAAAACAGTAACAGTAATATTCACAGGAAAGAAGTACAATTTTTATATTATCAAAAAGACACGCAAGCATCACCTTGACAATACAGTCAAACTTGTCCAAAATAACCTGTTTTCAAAAGGAGAAAAGCAGATGCCTCGTAAATCGTCATTACAATACAGAAAAATTAAACAAAGCATGAGAAGAAGTGGGAGGTGTCATTTGTACAGGTGATTGTCTTTTACAGATGGTCGTCAGAGCAGGTTCGACTGTATTTAACAATATCTACATGTAAGATGACAAGTCTGTTTGATTTGGTGTGAGTAAACAGAAGCACATCCACACAATAACAGTCATTTAGTGCAAGGAGAAAGCAAGATAGAAGGATAAACTGAAGGCTCCCTAGAAGAGCCCTACAACACAGTAACAGTCAATAAATACAAGGAAAATGCAAAAAAATAGAAAAAGAACTGCCAAAGGAAGCACCCTTCAAGCACCCGCTAAAAGTCCATGTGTCTTGAGTTTAATTAGAAGCACATGTGCACAATAACAGTCATTTATCCAATTGTCTGGTGACGTATTAGGCCTGCTTCACCACGACTACCCCAACTAAAGTCCATGTGCCTTGAGTAGATTAAAGAGAAGCACATTGTGGAACAATAACAGTCATTTATCCAAAGCGTCTGGTGAGTTTTAAGCCTTTTTTTTATAGTAGAGGGTTTTACGGCGCTCGCAACTGCATAAGGTCATATGAGCGCAAAGGGGTGGGTGTCAACAGAGAAGTCTTTAAAGGGAATCAGACTTAGACTGCTCACCGCTCTAGCTTCAACAGCACAAGGTCTGCTTCGACTATCAGAGCACCCCAAAATAGCACCTCACAAAAGAGTGACAAACATACAAAGAAGTAGAGGAAAATGACAATATTAAGGATGAGGAAAGAAAAAGCAGCAGTTCCCTGTTGTAGAACAGGCACAGTTATGAGCGTGACATGAGTCAGCCCATTTACAATTCTACAATGCTTGAACGAGAAATGTCCCCCCTTTGGGAAAGGCCTTAAGACGCTACAGTCAGGGGCACTGCCCCGGGGGGTAGTTTTAAGCCTGCTCAACAGGACTACCCCCCACAGATTGTTTGAGTAGGTGTTTTACTGCACTATCAACTCAAGATTTGGTCGACCCCGACTGACCTGGTGCGAGGCATGGGCTCGGCGGCGGGGTTGTTGTCCCGGCCCTCCTCCCCGTCGGCGGCCAGCAGGGGCTCCAGGAAGATGTCTGTCTGTGAGGTGTGGCCCTCCATGTACACAGACTTCCACAGCTCCACCTCGTGCTCGCTGAACTTGGCCACCAGAACCTGGAGTACCAGACGGTTGGTGTGACGGTTTGTTCTAGTAAGCATTTTACAGCATTCACAACACAAATAGGTCATATACATTCCGAAGATTAGGTTAGAAGCACATTGAAAAAATAATGGCCATACATTGCCAGGTAGAAGTCAGACAGACAGAAACAACAGAGGGCAAGTAAAGAAGTAGGGCCTACCAGTGGTGCCCTTCAACCACCTGTGCAAAGATTAGAGGAGTTACAAGAGAGTAGCAAACACAAAAAAAGGAGAGATATGGATGATAGATGTTTGAAAGGCTAAAAAGGAGTAAACCACACCACACAGCACCCACCAACCACCCATGTGTGACTGTTTAATAGTGCTGTTATGGTAGGTCTCCAGAACACATCAAAATCACAGACATATGTACATTGTCTAAAGGAAGTTAAATAGATACTTCACTAATAGAGCTAAATGTTAATAGACAATAGATGTCTGATAGGAAAGAAGGAGAAAACCACACCAAAGCACCCGTCCAACCACCAACCTAAAGAGCCTTGAAAAATCCTTTTATTTGTTTTGTTTGAGTGAAGGGAGCACAATGGCATGACTACAGTCATTCAGTGCAGGGAAAAGTAAGACAAGACAGACAGAAAACAGAGGGAATGTCAGGAAGTAGGACCTACCAGTAGCGCCTTCCAACCACTGGAAAAAAATTCATAAAACAAAGGTAGTTCAAGACACTACCATCACCCCCCCCCCCCCCCCCCCCCCCTTCCTCTCCCCCTATGGGGATTTGAGCAACAGCCAGTAGTGCCCTCCAACTACCCGTGAAAATTCTTAAAGCGTAAGTATTCAAGAACCTTTCCTCCTCCCCAATTGGAAATTCGAACCAAAGCCCAGAGTGATATCACATAGCCCAAAGACTCACCTCTTGCTTGGGTTTGTACAGCAGGTTGAGGAAGCGCGTGTTGCCCGGCTGCAGCAGGGCCCACACACTCCCGTATGTAAAGCGACACGCGTCGCGCTCACGCTGACAGTTGTGCAGGAAGGTGCCAAATAGGCAGGCTTGGGAGTGCTTCAGCAGCTTGATCTGAACGGGACAAAAATAGAGGTTTTAGTTTTGGTATGAGTTTTATGGCACTTGCAATACAAACAAGAAGCATAACTACCAATCATTAGAGGCGTTAAGAGAAAGTACCATAGAATAGAAGAGAGATAAAGATGACATGTTCGATAGGAAAGCAGACATAGAGTAAAGGTGTGTGTGTGTGGGTGGGGGAGTGTGGTGGTGTTGGTGGTTTTACTACAGGCAATAGAGGCACCACAATTGTCAGACTACAGTCTTCTGCATGTAATGAAGAAGATCAGGACAAAAATAGCAACATCAGATTTTTCAGTGGATGAAAGCTGCTTCTTGGACCTTTCTGCAATACTCTGTCTCTTGCTTTACAGTCTGTATGACCTGTTTTGTATGTCAATTCCTAACCAAAAAAAATGCATAATTTGTTTTGCTTTAAAAGGAGGGTTCAAGTCAAAACTTCTGTTCAATCGCTCTTATTAAAAACATGAGAATAATCAAATCAAAACACTCACTGAACGCACAGCTTTACTGAGCACATTGAAAGAGGAAGATGCACACTAATCTTTTTTTTTTTTAATTTATCCCTAAACATTTATCCCAATTATTCCTTTCGATACTAATCAACCAGGGTGGTGCGGAGATTCTGGCACCGGATCCTCGAACCCGAGTCTAGACGGAACAAAACACACCTCCACTCATGTTTCTTCTTTTTTCTCAACTCCTCCTCCTCCTCCTCATATCAAAGCAAGTGAAAGATGCCACTGACCAGATAGGCTTCGTTGAACTCAAACTCGGCCGGGTGCTGTCGGGTCAGCTGATGGACACAGTCCAGGAACTGCAGGAAGATGGGACTCTGCTGGTTGTAATCCGAGCACTTGGGGTCGTGGCCTCCGCGCTCCCCAAACTTGTGGCCAAAGTGCAGCCACTCCCTCTCCACCAACGTTTGGAAGCCCTGTGGGAGGGAGGAACGAATTTATAACAAGTACAAAGTTCTACATAGACAAAAACAGCAATGTTTTCCTAAAAATCAGTTGGTTTGAAGAACCAGCAGAAAGGTAGGCCTACCCTACAGAATCAGAGATTGTATGAAAGCAATATCCTTGTACATGGAAAGTTATTAAGAAGTAAAGCCAGATGTTTGGGACGTATGTATAACGTCTGACAGGCAACCAGGAGTGGCAAATTATTGCCATCGTCCATGAAACGTCCGTGGTACAGCACAAAGCGAAAAATTATGCAAATTAGTCAAAGAAGGGGTTGACAGTGCTCGGTGACACAATTAGGTCCCTCTCGTCTGTCTCACCTCAATGGTGCGGTAGTACGGGTCCATGAGTAGTTCAGACAGTGAGCAGATCTGCGAGGTGCGGTCCCATCCGTCAGAGCAGTGCACCAGCACCGGCCGCCTCTTGCCCTTCATCAGCTCCACCACAATGTTGGCCCCGCGCAGCAGCTGGGAGATGTAGCTCAGCCACATAGAGCCCGACAGGTTCTTGAAGTAACTGAAACCAACAAAACAATTTAAAAGGGATTTCACAAGCGTATTACAATTGTTAATATTATTATGTGTGAAACGAACAGTTCACACATAATTTCTTAGCAATTCTGATAGATTATTGGGGGGGGGGATTTATTCAACTTTTCTGAAAATTAATGTTCACCCGCAAACATGGAAATTGTCAGACATCAACAATAAGTTCCTGACACCAAAAAGAAAATAACTGATATTACATGTTTCAGAGCAGTATCCATACAATTCAGTCATTTAAGCATCACATATGAAAAGATATCATCATGGATGCTAAATGCAAACTAAAGACAGATACTGAGCTTCAGTTTGAGTAAAAAGAGGCACATTGACTTTATTTTTTTTTTTAGATTTTAGTTAAAATGAAGACAAAGCACATTGATACGAACACTGCCTTTAAGTGCGAATAAAAAAAAGCCCATGGACAGAAACAAAAGAGTGGGGAAAAAATAGGACCTGATAGTGGTGCCTTTCAATCACTGTCAAAGACAGGAAATATTGAGACACTCAAGCTTCCATAGTAAAGCACAAAGCAAAAAACAATCTTCACTCACGTCCCTTCTGGATAATTGTGGCACAAAGTGCGCAGCTTATTGAAACTGTCACGAATAGCATGGATGTTGGCCAGATCAAGGTGGATCAGCTTGCACTTGTAGACGACTGAAAACACATCAAGAAACAAAATGGAAGACATAAGCAAGATCACACGTTAATATGTTCAACCGACTATCACTGACACCATGTTTTTAATATTTGAAGGAGTTGTCCAAATGTCTTAGCCTTTTATTTTTTTCCACGGACCAAAAAAGTTGTGAATTTGCCACATTTTCTAAGCACAGGCCGTGATTTTTCAAATGGTTTAGCATCTTCCACATTTACCAGTTCTAACACACTTTTTACTGCCGTACTTGACCTGCCAAATCTCAGTCTCATCAAAACATAATTTTAGAGCCGCCATAGGCCACTTTGGAAAGTGACATATGACAGAGTCTTACACTGGGGAGTCAATATGCTCTGTGCTTCAAGCAAGCAAGATCCTCTACGATGGATTACCATATGTCTTCTGCCTCTACATCCAGACCTACTCGTATACTGCTGTAAGCTGACAAAACGCCTTTTTCATTTTTTGCCCCACATTTTTTAATTAGCTAAATCTAAATCTGTACCCTACTTGCGTGACAAAATTAAAGCGAAACTGGGGGGGGGTTTTTGCATAAATTAAAATTCAGATTTCAGAAGAATGCTTTTTTTAAAATAGTAATTTTGACAAAAATCCTCTCTTACCCTCATCCTCTGTTCCTCCTCCCTTGAAGCTGTTGCCCCACACGCCGGCTGTGCTGCGGCAGTCGACAATGGCCAGCATGCGAGGATTGCTGGAGTCTGGAAGAGAACATTCGCCAAAAGCCAGTGTCAATAATTGTCTTTTTGCTCATATTTTAAATAACCACAAGACCATTTCTTACAGAATGTACCAGTAAATTGTAGGCCGGCTGTTTAAATGTACAAGCCCAAAATCGCCGGCTGTTCAAATGTACAAGCCCAAAATCATCAAGCTAAAACACTAGCAACCAACAATATCTAATCTTTCCAAGTCAAGAGCCAGGTAACCATTCCCACTTGGCTGAAGTGAGGAATATTTGCGTTAAGTGTACACCCAAGGACACAATGACACTCTAAAGGGATTTGAACCCACAACCCTATAGCTGAGGGTGGAAGAGCCTAACCTCTAGATAACCTAATAATAGGAGAGTAAGGAAGTAAGACCTTCCAGCCTTTCAACCATCTGTGACCAGAGAGTACAGACAATAAGGGAAGCAGACAAAGCAACACAAAGGACAAGGGTTAGCTAACTCACCGTGCTGGTCAGTGCCATTGCTGGCCTCATGTCCAGTGGAGGCTCCGCCCCCTTGTCCCACCAATCCACCCTGAGCCCCATCCTCCTCCGGCCGCGCTGACCCGTCACCTTGACCCTGACAGCAGCCAGGGTTCTCGTCGGCCTCTACAGGGGGAGGAGCCATGCGGGGCTGGCGCTCTGACTGAATAAACTCCCAGTCTCTGGAACAACAATCATGATTATTAATGGTTACACTCAACATGAACACATTTAACCTCAGTCTTTTTTTTATGTGGCAAAGAAGGCAAGATACTGCAGTGGCAAACAGCATTCATCGTGTCCTGCAAAGCATGAGGGCCATAATGGTGAGGGCTGTTCTTCATGCATTGTATTCGCCATACTGCTATTTGACATGCTATGTAAACTAATACTAGATTCAATTCAGCAATACTTTTCTGTAAGAAAAAATCTTTTACTTTAGAGACAGTCGTCATATTTACAAACACTATCTAATTGTAAGCAGTATTGTACAGCTAAGCGAGAAGTAGATCTTCAGAATTTAAAACAATCATCTCAACCAGGACTGAGGCAAGAAGGTAGAAAGTCTCGAAATCTCGGATTTGAGCCTGGGTCAAACACATAAAAATATTTATGATAAACTCATAAAATCTTGTCTGACAAATCTGAATTAAGCACTGAACCCTAAACCAATCAAACTGAAGGTTGCACTGTACAGACCTGTTGCAAGCTTTGACAATCTCATCCAGAAGTAGCAGGTCAGCGTCGTTGCTGAAGTAACTGACCCCCAGGAAGCTGGACAGAGGCTGGCTGCTGCGGATCAACACCATTCCCGAGCTCTTGTCTCTGTGGGAAGCCACATTGTTTTATCATTTATTGCAGGGGTGTTGCACCCCTATCGACACAATTTGAGGCATTCAAGAAATTAGGAGAACACAATTTTTTTTTTGTTTCTTTAGTCAGGTTCAGGGAAATAGTAGCTTTTTAACATCACCAATCATAAAGTGCAGGGGAAAAAAAGAAAGAAAAAATTACGGCAGGAGCAGGAAAGAAAAGACAACCATTAGTGCCCTCCAACCACCGGCGAGCATGAGCAATGTGTAAAACAGAAGTACATTATCAAAATAATGGGGGGGGGGTTTGTATTTTTTAATCACCATAACAGTTATTTATAGTATGGTATGAGTTTAACTTGACCACGCTCTTTCAACACTTGAAAGCAATCTAACCATAAGCTAATGAATGATGTACCCTACTGTCATCTAAGTCTGGGCAAAAAGATATACAGAAACAGTAGAGGGACAGTACCAAAGGGTCAGTTTATGTCTAAAATCTTTTACAACAATATTAGAATTTGAGTTTTGGTTAAAGAGAAGAACACCACCATGTTAACGTTCATTAAGTGTGTGGTAAGAAAGCAAGAGTAACAGATAGAAGGATCTAACAGTAGTGTCCTCCAACTACCCACAAGTTAAAGAGATCCATACAGACAAGATATCAGCAATTCAGAACGGAGAAAAGGCAAGATGGCAACCTGAGAAACAAAAGAGGGTAGAAAAACAAAAGGAAAGGCGTAGCCATTGTATAGCCAATTAGCCTACCTCCGCACAACCCCAGGTAACTTACTGATACTCATATATGTGTAATTGGTGCGCACAGTGGGAAAGGTGTGGCCAATATATCAATATAGCCAACTAGCTTACCTCCAGACAACAGACGGGAAACGTTTGAGGGCTCTGAAGTCCAAACTGTCCTTGAGTTTGTCATCGCTGACCGTCACGGGAAGCAGGTGCAGTTTGGGATATGTAGGGCAAAACCTGTCGAGATGCAGACATGTTATTTTGTTTGAGTACATTTTTGTTTAAGTGAGAGCTTCATGGCATTTGCAATACCATAACAATTAAGCCAAACAGGAGCTGAGGATCAGGTGTTACAAGAGAGTAATAAACATAAAAAAGAAGTACAAGTTTATGGCAAAATCAACACAATTTGGTCAGAACATATTACATGGTATTAATACATTGCTAGGCTGCGTTCGAGCCAAGTGATCAGGACTCACAACCCTGTAGGTTTGAATCCCTTTCTCTGGTCCAAACTGAGTCTTTGCAAAAGAAACAAATTTCCCTCACTTCACATCAGTGGGAATGGGTGCCTGGCTAAAACAGTGAAAGATCTTGTAAGTTTGCCAACAATTGCACAATAGCAGTCTACTCTGAACTGAATGCTTCCCAGGAAAAATAGATTCGATATGTAACAAAGTCTGTCAGGGTGACTAATTGTAAAGCACAGTGGGCCTACTATCAAGCAAAAACACTAGCAATACAAGTATAATTTATCAATGTTATTGGTATCACGTTAATCACCATTCTTCCAAGTCTTAATCTTTATCGATTTTCCCCTCCATTATTGTGAGATTAGTTTTATTTCAACGTATCTTAGATATTGATCAAATATTGCACCAGTGTCAAAATAATAATGAAGATCATTTTTATAGCATCTAATCCTGTGTACACATACCTCTACATCATGTTAGAAATGTTTCAGTTTAAAGATAGTATTCATATCCAGCCCTATGAACAAGTCTAGTATCCTCAAACTGCTTTTACATTTTGTTTTTCCTCCTTGCCTTTAAACTTACTTTATAACACTAAAAAAAAAAAAACATCCACTAGCATCCCCCCACTCCCCATCCCTTTTAAAAATCTTTCCCTCCGTCTCCATCCCCCCCACTAAACTAATACAAGTACGGAGAAGGCAAATAGCTCCACAGGCATTCACCCCCCCCCCCTCCAACTCTTTCCATCTTGCCCATCCTTATACCCCCTACCCTTCCTTTCAGCCTTTTATATCCTTTAACCCTATCCGTATGTCGTGATTTACTCTCGTATCCATACGACGTGGGGGACTGTGCCATCATTTCCAAAGAGAAAATTTACTCGTTAATCCGATCAGTATGCTTTGCATAGTAGTCTGTGTACGGATAAGGTTAAATATCTGCCCCCCCCCCCCCCCCAACATCCACACACATTACAACTTACTCATATGTGTCATTAGCATGGCTCATCCTCCAGACCCTGCGCCGGTTTGTGTCAAAGCCAAGTCTCTCCACCTCTTTCCCAAATGAGTATGCAAATGACTGGCTCACTGAGGACATGAGAAATTTCATTGTTATGAGTCAATGGGAGCAGAGCAAGCAAAGACCATTTGAGATTACGGTTTGTTTTAGTAAGTTTTACAGCACTTGTAACAAAAAAAGTCATAAAAGTGCAGAAGATTAAAGTGTTACTGGAGAGTAGTAAAATCTATACAAAGAAAAGAAGGAAAAGAAATAAAGTCAATAGATGTTTGTTGTTTGAGTGAAGAGAAGAGAATAAGCAAAGAACATTTGAGATTATGGTTCACTGAAACAATGTACAATTGTTTAGTAGAGGTTTTGCGGGCGCTCGCAACTGAATAAAGTCATATGAGCACCAAGGGGTGGATGTCAACAGAGAAGTCCTTACAGGGAATCCAAGACTTACTCTGCTCACCTTTCTAGCTTCAACAGCATAAAGTCTGCACCGACTATCAAGGCACCCCAGAAATAGTGGGTCACAAGAGTGTGACAAACATACAAAAGAAGTAGAGGAAAACGGACAATAGTAAGGATTAGGAAAGAAAAAGCAGCAGTTCCCTGTTGTAGATCAGGCACAGTTATGAGCGTGACATTGATGGATCAGCCCATTTACAAATCTACTGTGCATGAACGAGAAATTTCCCCCCTTTGGGAAAGGCCTAAAGACACTTCAGTCAGTGGCACCGCCCCGGGGGGTAATGTACAATTGAACCTGTCCATGATGTTGTTGAGGGGAAAAGTAGCCACCTTAGATAGGTGGTCATTATGGACAGTATCATAATATTCAGAAAAAAAACGCAACGGGAGGATGAGGGAAGCAGTCATTTGTATATGTGACGTTTTGGACAGGTGGCTGTTAGCTTAGTTTTAGTAAGACTTTTACGGCACTTGCGACACAATAAATTCATATCAGTGCAGAAGAATAGATGTGTTACAAGAGAGTAACATACACAAAAAAGGAGGAGAGATAAGGACGATAGATGTTTGATAGGAAAGAAGGAGCAAATCACACCAGAGCACCCACCAACCACCAACAGGTGGCTGTTAGAGAGGGTTCGACTGTATTTGGTTTGAGTAAAAAGGAACAATGTGATAACCATCACGTAATGCATGGGAAAAAAGTAAGACGTGAGAACAGAACCAAAAGCAGAGAAACAACAACATTAGAATTTACTAGGGCTATCATCCAACCAGTTTAGTTTTCGTTTTAGTAGAGGTTTTACGGCGCTCGCAACTGCATAAGATCATATGAGCGCCAGAAGATTAGAGGTGTTACAAGAGAGTAACAAACATAAAAAAAGAAGAAGGGGAGATAAGGATGATAGATGTTTGGTAGGAAAGAACGAGCAGACCACACCAGAGCACCCGCCAACCACCTACTCATCCAACCACCCACAGTGTATTTGTCAAACACCATGCCACAGGACAAGCTAATCAACAACACTGAGAAATAAAAAAGGGGGGCCAAAGAATTCCCATAACATTCACTTCTAATCTTCTACCTTCAAACAGTGACATAGAAAACACCATATAGTGACTTAGACGGCCTCCAATAGTGACAAAGAAAGGCTGCCTTGGCCAAACAAGGGCCACTCTGATACACACACACACACACACACACACACACACACACACACACACACACACACACAC